GATACCACACACCCAGGACGTGACACAGCTTAGTACACGAGTCATTACCACACACACATATCAACACCTACGGACGACTACTGCACCACGTGAACACCACACCACCTGGTGTCTCCATGACCCCGTAAGGTCCTTCATATTAACACCCGAGGACGAGTTACTGAAGCACGAGGCCTATGTGACCTCACACAGTATGGCAAGAGACCAGCCAGGACCATCAACTGTAAACTACAATAATTTGTTTGTTCAATCATTGTTCCTTCTCCTAGTAATGAAAGCTTTTGTTAAGCGACCCACCCACCTCATGTCTTAGTATGTAATAAGTCATGTTTGTCTAATGTAATATATTCAGCCTTCGGGCTGCAGAACTTTTTCAATAAACCGTTAATTATTATTATGACACACACACACACACACTAACAAATTACTGCATATGCAAGACTATCAGGATGAAAAACAACAACAATAACAATAATAGTAATAACAAATATGACAATAATAAAAAATAATACAAATGATAATAAAAACAATAATAATAAATAACAACAATAATAATATATACTGTAACTAGAATCCTAACAAGACCACACTATACATGTATTTGGACGACACGTTAAATGGGTGGCCATAAAATGAAAAACTGTGATGCCATATTTCAGGTGGAAAATATAATTTCACGGTCTTCACGCCCCATATTTCACCACCTGACATCTCCCTGGCAACACCTACTAATTTATATGTAGCTTCAAGACCATTTTTTTTACCCAGTTCTGTACGAGGAATGGCCAGCAGTTTGGGTTAGGTTAGGTTGAGTTGGATTAGGTTAGGTGGCGCTACAGAATTAAAAACCTCAGGATTCTTGTATTTGTTGATAGTTGTATAGTGTCACCTGGTGTTGTCATCATACAGTCAACACCATAATGCCACCATACAAGTCAACACCATAAATACAGTGAGAATCCTTCACTATACAGGGATAAACTACAGACAATCTCACTGTTTATTGGGATTAACCTTAAGATAATACACCCCAGTTTATTTCACCTTAACCTAACCTAACCCCCTCAGGTAAAATTTGGGTGTATTAATCAACAGGTGGGATAAACTAAGGGGGGGGGGCTTAACATCCACGTGATCCTCTTGTTAAGTCAGAGATAATAAGACTAAATTAAAGAAAGAAGGTAATAAGTGGAGTGAGTCAAGTCCTGCCAGTGTTTACCAGTCTCTCTCTCTCTCTCTCTCTCTCTCCCTCTCTCTCTCTCTCCCTCTCTCTCTCTCTCTCTCTCTCTCCCTTACTGGTAAATGATCTACCAGCCATTATACATGAACAAATCTTTTTTTTAACTTAATTCTAACAAATAGAATAAATTACTATATACTTGTAAAAAAAAAAAGAAATCCTAAGGTATTGTAGTAAATATGTTTTGGTTCTCGAGTAAGTAAGTCTGGGAGCAAGGTGAAGATTAGACACCCTAGTCTATTAATAATACACCTTCAAATATAACTAATTACTAAGTGCACGTCCCTAGGGCCCTATATATAATGCTTACCGAGTCACATGTAGTGTAGATTGGCTGGTATAATTATTAGACTTTACAGCGCAAGGCATCATCCTCCTAATCATGGTTTAATATCAAACACCTTCCTGGCATCTATCCTGCATCCGTTACTACACATGATATAAACAACATGACTCTTACCCCCCCACAAACATCAATAATATCTTGTAGCTTCTTCATTCATATACACAATCAGGGTCCGGCCTATATGGGGGGGGGGGGCTTAATATTGTGACGTTCCTGAAACTATTCCATCGAGTTGGGCCAAAATCTTGAGGGAAAATAAAAAACTTGTGTCGTCTCGTCTCGTCCCGTCTCGTCTCCCTCCACTGCTTTTACCAATTTCTTTCAAGTCTTTCATTTATCCTAATTTAATAAAAAAATGGTGTAATGTAAAGATAGCAAGAGAGATAGAAAAAGAGACTTCACACACACACACACACACACACACACACACACACACACCATTTCCTTGAGATGACGATAATAATATCCGGGTTTTATAAAGTGTGTCGTGTAATTAAGAAGGATTCCTCCCCCACCACACAGTGTAGAGCTCTCGTACCTAGAGTGGGGCAAGCGGGCGGGCGGGTAGGTAGGGAGGCTGGCGGGCGGGTAGGGAGGCTGGTGGGCGGGTAGGGAGGCTGGTGGGCGGGTAGGGAGGCTGGTGGGCGGGTAGGGAGGAGAGCGGGCAAGGAGGCAGACTGACCCGCCCCTGAGATCAATAACAGGCCCCAGGGGAAACAGGAAATACAAACTAAAAACCAAATAAACAAAATTAACTCTCAGGAAGATTAGGCCATATTTAAAAGACCTTCTATGGCCTTGTGATGAATGACGAAGGATGTCACTAGCTGCAGTTGTACCCGGAGTTGATTTCAAAGGGGGAACACATCTCCACCACCCACCCAGACCAGGCTACTCTCACCCACCCACTGGTCACCAACATGCCTATTAAAAATCTACACCACGCAACACAACACAACACAAAGACACCCACAGCATCACAAGTCAAGCCAGTAAAGTGAAGGACGCTTAACACTCCCCATATGAAGGTTAGGGATGACTCATGACCTTAACTAAGCCGAATAAACCTGGAGAAAAAATGTCATCAGTTAGCTTTCACATTCTAATATGACGTGCTAACTAACATTCTATTGCGGGGGGGGGGGTAACTAACATTCTATGATAAGAGGTTAACTAACAGGCAATCATAGCTCTCTTTAGAGTATGATTAATAGCGCAAGAGGTCAGGTTAGGTCAGCCAGCCCCTCTTAATCACTTACCGAGGCGTATATCATCATAATTTACCCCCCCCCCTCTCTGTGTGTGTGTGTGTGTGTGTGTGTGTGCGCGCCTGATGGTTCACCCTTGATGGATAACCCGAAGGAGTAGGACAGTGTCTATTTGGGAAGTGAGGGCAGGGGTGAGGGAAGGAGGGGAACAGGGGAAGTGAGAAGAGGGGACTGAAAGATCATCATTTGGTACTTGAGAAAATTCCACATTTATATATAGCTACAACGAGGACCTCAGAACCCCTCCTACTACACAACCAGCTCATTGACGAACACCACCACCACGCACTGAGGCACTATAAGAAGGGGATACGTTCATGCGCCGCACTAGACCAAGCTGGTGCTGAGGCCATGACACTTGTATACAACTTCACCACCTTCTCTTCCTCCTCGTTATCTCTCCCACTCCTTTGTCCTCTCAGTATCTCTTTACCCTTCCTATCCACCCCCCACCCTTTCTCTCGCTCGTTATCCTTCCTATCTCTCTCTCACAACATAATTCCTCACATGTTATCAAGCCTAGTAAGAGACCTTTCACTGTCCGTAGTTCACCACAATATAAAATTGACCCCTTGACCCAGCTCACCGCACATCTTCCCTCTCTCTGGGTCACGTGTAACACCACCACCAATAATAACAACACCATCTTGAGCACCACACACTAAGCTGCAATCATCATTAAGTGAACTTGACCTGTATTTCCCGAGGTGGGGGAGAGGAGGAGGGGGGGGTGGGGGTAATGCCATGCCAAAATCTCGGGTGCCAACAGCAGGAGGCACTTTATTCCAGTAACTATATATACTTTGTTATCCACTCTCCATCAGTGAGTGTCTTGGGTGTGGCCGGACGGGATGTTATTTTACAAGCCAGATATAATTAACTGATGGGGTGGTAGGGGTCATCTAGTGGTCGTTGTAAGCTGGTGTTGACGACAAGCCTGGGATGAATTATCGGATGATTAAACACCCTAAATAACCTGTCCCTGTCCTTCTCCCAGGTAGCGTCAGGTTCTTTAATCTCCAGGTGACACCCCCACCCTCCAAAGCCTCTCTCTTCACCTTTCTAGCCAACTGTTCCTCTTGATGGACGGAAAAAACTAACTTTCCATTCTCAAAAATCTTCTTTGTGATAGTTGGGTGACAGGAGTTTTATTTAAGGGTTTTATACCGATGTGAGTTCCCCCATTTGTGTGGCTTTTACTCATTTTTTCTTCCTGACAGGTGCACACAGGCCACTACATTAAAGTTGACAAAGTTCCACTGCTTCTGTGAGTGAGTGAGATACAAGTTCACTATGGCGGTTTTGTCTCTTCCTTCAAAATGGACAAAATATAAATACCGCAAAAGACCCCACACACACACACACACACACACACACACACAAACACACACAAACACACACACACATCTCTCTAGCAACAGTCCGCTATTCCGTGTACCGCCCTCCTCCTCCCGGGTCAGGCTCAATCAAAACTGTACCCGATTCTCACCCGTGCAGAAGACATATTTACAGAGTCAATATCAAGCTGTCACCCAAAATATGAGGTCGAGGATGGTGATCGAGGTCAAAGTGGACGGTTTCCTAGGTCGAGTGGTGAAGGAGTCACTGTTGACGTGACCTGAGATACACGTTATATGGTCACAGTACTCCATGGTAGAGCCCCTCCTCCCTGGCACCCCACCACGTCAGCCCAGGGTATGAGCAGTGGTGTGTGTGTGTGTGTGTGTGTGTGTGTGTGTAAGGTTGCGTGACAATAAAATAAGTTTGGCGGTACCATTACGACTCTATTGTACACTTTATTGAACTTAAACCTACGCTCTTGACTTACACATGAGGTATTTCCTCTCAACCTCCCTCCCTCCGTCAGCGTGGCCACCTGTAGTGAGTGGTAACTAAGGAAATCAAGGGTCCTTATTCTCGTTAGTAAAATATCATATTGTAAATGTGTTAATAATAGTTAGAAGAGACAGACTCACAGGCCCCCTTACTAAAACCACCTGACACTGAGGTAAGGAAGACTGTCCATAACTAAGACAAACTCCTGCTCAACATCGAGAGAAAAATATAAGTAAATAAAGAGCTCTGTCTATGGTAATGAAGAGTTAAAGAGTGAGGCACAACATGTCACCTGGTGGGAAATACTCACCTCGTTATCAGAGTTGCCCATGTTGCCCGCCAGCTCAAGCAGTCACGTTGATTCACTTCACAAAATGTTCCTCTTGCTTGACCCCTTCACTCACTCACTCGTCAATAATACTTTTTTCCTTGTCGTTGAGTGAGTTATGCACTTGTCTGTGTTCCAATGGCGTTACTTACAATGATTTGTTTCAGTCGTAACTATTAGCTCTCTTCCTCGAATCCTTGAGAATATTTCCTAAATCCTTGAGAATATTAAACCTTCTTCCACAATACTTATGGCTTATGGGTGAAGAAACAGGTTAATATTACACAGCCTCTCTCACACACGACAAGCGGTGTGGGGTTAAGAGGATGTAAGAGTTATAACCTGTCAGTGTATCAAGTAATTATGTGACGCCAGTCCTTTACACTAATTACACCTCTCTACATCATTAAATTTAGCTCACACACACACACTATAGCCTCGTGGTGAAGATCAAGTATTTTGGTGTGTGTGTTAAGTAAGAGTGAGGGGTGTGGCATGCCTGACCTTTACACAGGGAGCCCCACGAGGGACTGGGGTCAGTAATGACAGGCAAGAGGGCCAAGCTGAAGGCTGCCTGGCGAGGGTTGGCACTTGCAACACGAAGAAAACCTGTATAATCCTCTGCTGGTCCGAGTCTAGTACAGTAATTAAGGGATGGACGAGGTGGCAGCGGTTTTAACATCAGTATATTTGGTAATGAGGCAGCGGTCCGGAGTTAATTACTCTGAGTGTTGGAGGGGGAAGACTTAATTATGTTGGCAAATTACCCTAACATTTTATATTGGATTTTCAAGGGCAAATATTACATCTGCTCACTACCTTTTGTGCGCACGTTTCATCTCTTGCCTGCCAAAAAATCAGTGATTCATGTATAATATTTCGGGTGAAAACACACACACCTGCTCTTAACACTGCCAGAGATCAGAAACACCGAGAAGTAAAGAGTGTCATGTAGATAATGTGTTGGCGGCAGTAGCGGGGTAAGAGCGTGAGGTGATTACCAGGTGTGTCGCGTGACGGTAAGACCCGCCTCGCAGTGCATGTAAACAACACCCCATTAATCCTGGTCTTTACTCCAACCATCACCACACACGCTCACACGGATCATCCCTGTATGGTCACCACACCCTCCACCATCACCACACACTCTCACACGGATCATCCCTGTATGGTCACCACACCCTCCACCATCACCACACACTCTCACACGGATCATCCCTGTATGGTCACCACACCCTCCACCATCACCACACTCTCCCACACGGATCATCCTGTATGGTCACCACCCTCCACCATCACCACACACTCTCACACGGATCATCCCTGTATGGTCACCACACCCTCCACCATCACCACACCTCACAAGGATCATCCCTGTAGGGTCACCACACCCTCCACCATCACCACACACCTCACAAGGATCATCCCTGTATGGTCACCACACCCTCCACCGTCACCACACACTCTCACACGGATCATCCCTGTAGGGTCACATCACCACACACTCACGGAAGGGAAGGTGTGTTGGCGCACCATCAGTCATCACCTCCACACACTCAAAAGTTCCACTCGACTCTCCACTTAAGGACCAACACAACACCTTATCTCGATTTCCTCTGGTTATGACTCGACACTGCAGTCCACGCCACACACATTACTCAAGGTTAGGTGCGACGTGCTGGGAGACCACGAGAGTTTAGCTCCTGGGCCCAGTGGGTCAAGCTCTTTCTCGGGCAATATACGAAGGTGGGCCGTACGTGACTTTACTGCCGTCAACTACTCCCCCAAAGGCGTGTGTTAGGAAGCTTCGTTATGAATACCAATGAGGATGTCAAGGAGGTGCTCAAGTTTCCAGCAATATCATGACGAGGACGACATGACCAGTTAGTAGTGAAGTAACAACAAGGGTTCAGTCAGCGCCTTGTTATCACCTCATCCTTTCACTTGTCATACAGTGTTACTATATTTCCTATTGTTCAGTTATCACCAAGACACCTTCCACAAACGTCAACACTTGGTCGCCACAATACAACACACTAGTGCTCCAGGACAGGTACTGTACTGTACGAAGCAACAGGAGTACCTTCACGTCCTCACCTCACGAGCGCCGACGGCCAACTAATCGCACTCGCAGAGTCAGAGCCTCAGTCAGTGACAGTCAGGCCTCAGTTTCACCTCGCAACGTCCACATCCACCAATTTCCCCAACACACACACACACACACACACTGAGCCCGTTCTTAACATCTGACTCAGAGATTAGGTTACTTGATTACATAAAATCTGACACGTGTCTTTTGCCAGCTTCCTTAACACATTTCTATACAGCCACTACTGGGGGGGAGGGGGGTGCGCACCACACTATCTGCCTCCCTGCAAGAGGTCCAACAAAAGACTGGAGCAGGAAAAAGGAACAGGCGGTAACCGGCACCATAAAGCCAGCCAGGTGCCAACGCGGAATTTCTCCTCACCCTACCACCCGCACCACCTAAATAAGGCCGCAACGGACGCCAATAAGAACCTCAAACCCATCTAAATCATACATGACCTCTGCTCACTCTTCAAAGATAATCTAAAAATAACGAAGAGTGAGAGTTAATGATGGCGTCCACGCCCAGGCCTTAAAACAACGCGCCAGTAACAACCTTCTATCCTCACTATCAACCAAAATAAACAGATTCACAAATGAACTTGAGGCCAGGCAGCTCAAGTCAACTTAGGGGGAATGTGACCTGTAAGTGAGGAGCTTTCCACCCACTCTCCACTAACAACAATATTTACACGTGTGGAAACAGTTACTGGTGATGAGAGGGTAGACTATTGGCTGCTGCACCATAACAAGGGAAGGAAAGCCTGGGACAACACATCTCATTGACTCAAGAGATAAGGGTTCATTGTGACTCCCCTCCTCTCGCTGAACCCACTTGTTGATACACCCAGTTAAGGAACCTAGTGTCTACGTCATACTAACAATGTCTAATATTAGCTGGTGTAAAAATAATAGAAATTTACGACTAGCTGGAGACGTGAGGCAGTCTGGTGTTCCTTAATCATTGACCTATTCTTACACACACACACACACACACACACCAACGTGCTTTTAAAGTTCGTAAACACAACACAATATCTGCAACACTTGAGGGAAATTTCTGCAACATTATATTCGAGAAAAAATTTAAGAAAAGTATATTAGGAAATAACATAACTAGAGTACAGTATACTTTGTTCTTTATTGATATTTACTTCTGAATTATCCCACATTTCTTACTGTTTTTTGTTTGTTTCTTAATATATTTTTTCATTATTTATTTTTCATTTATTTATATATTTTTCATTTTATTTTTTATTACTTATTTTTTTATTTACTTATTTATTTATTCACTTAATCATTTATTTATTCATTTACTTGCTAACTGATTTATTTATCGACTGATTTCTTTATTTTTCATTCCTTCATTCATTTATTTACTTATTTAATTATTCATTTATTTACATATTTTTTTATTTGCTGATGAATGAACGCCAGAAAGCCATAAACAAGACCAGACCAGAAAAGACTCCACCTCGGGGGTAAACATAGCAAGGGGGGGGGCACCTAACCAGGCGACAGAGGAACACTAAAACCACACTCCACTCTTCTCTCCTATCCTCTCGCGGGTCTTTAGCGCTGGGGACTGATAACTGCAGTGTGTGTGTGTGTGGTCAGCGTGTTTATGTACTCGTATATACCAGTTATAATATAGGTTGCGCCACCAGCTATTATCTCTGCCTGCCTGTCCCCCATCAGCACCTTGTGTGTGTGTGTGTGTGTGAGCAATTACTACGGAGGGGCTTTGCATGACTACGCCCCCCCCCCCACCTCTCACACACACCGAACTCCTTACCAAATCAACAGGTAGATGGAACTAAACCTGTATATTAGGACAACAACAAAAATAAGGACCTGGTAATTTTCAAGCAACTGGCTGGTGCTTACGACAATAAATGAGCGAAAATGTATACGTATATTTACTTCACATCACCTGAAGATTAGCCTCCCCAAGCTTATTCCGCTTTAAGATTAACCCCTGTAGTGCTAACCTAACCTAACCCCTGAAATGCTAACCTAACCTAACCCCTGTAATGAACTCAACCTAACCCCTGTAATGCTCACCTAACCTAACCCCTGTAATGCTCACCTAACCTAACCCCTGTAATGCTCACCTAACCTAACCCCTGTAATGCTCACCTAACCAACCCCTGTAATGCTCACCCAACCAACCCCTGTAATGCTAACCCAACCCAACCCCCTGTAATGCCTCACCTAACCTAACCCCTGTAATGCCTACCTCCAACCTAACCCCTGTAATGCTCACCTAACCCAACCCCTGTAATGCTCACCTAACCTAACCCCTGTAATGCTCACCTAACCCAACCCCTGTAATGCTAACCCAACCTAACCCCTGTAATGCTAACCCAACCCCTGTAATGCTAACCTAACCCCTAATGCTAACCAACCTAACCCCGTAATGCTAACCCAACCTAACCCCTGTAATGATAGCCTACCCAGCCCCCCAGTTGTTAGTAAGATGCTTAATCATGTGGAAAAGCAAGGGGGGTTGAACTTTTGGTTTGATTCACACACTGAGTACATAAAATACAGTCCACGAATACATAAGAAAATCAGACAACAGTGTACTAACTTCTACTGTATTCTTGATGAAATGGATGCCATACAAAGGAAGGAAGGAAGGAAGGAAGGAAGGAAGGAAGGAAGGAGAGAGAGAGAGAGAGAGAGAGAGAGAGAGAGAGAGAGAGAGAGAGAGAGAGAGAGAGAGAGAGAGAGAGAGAGAGAGAGAGAGAGAGAGAGAGAGAGAGAGAGAGAGAGAGACAGGAGAGAGAGACAGAGAGAGACAGAGAGAGACAGAGAGAGAGAGAGAGAGACAGAGAGAGAGAGACAGAGAGAGAGAGAGAGAGAGAGAGAGAGAGAGAGAGATAAGGAGAGAGAGAGAGAGAGAGAGGAGAGGAGAGAGAGAGACAGGGAGAGAGAGGCAGAGAGACAGAGAGAGAGACAGAGAGAGAGAGAGAGAGAGACAGAGAGAGAGAGACAGAGGAGAGAGAGAGATAGAGAGACATAGAGAGAGAGAGAGAGAGAGAGAGAGAGAGAGAGAGAGAGAGAGAGAGAGAGAGAGAGAGAGAGAGAGAGAGAGAGAGAGAGAGAGAGAGAGAGAGAGAGAGAGAGAGAGAGAGAGAGAGAGAGAGAGAGAGAGAGAGAGAGTCCCAAAACAACACACTTCGGAGTCACATTAAGTAATCTTGGCAGTCACTCTGGCCAGTGTGTACACACACACACACACACACACACACACACACACACACACACACACACACACACACACACACTGTCAACTATATGTCATAACTTCCCTCCCCTCACGGATACAGTCGAGTTACCACAATACAGTACAGTGCTACCTACACCCATTCTCTCAAGCTTTCCCCTGTTTATAACACCCCAGAAATCCCCAAGTTTAACATGACTAAACACAAACGATTACACCCTTGGACGAGTGTAGACCAGGTGGAGGAGGAGCAGTTTAAAAATCCTGGAGATGTAGGGGTCAACCTCTAGCCAAAAATCTGTGTTGGTTTCCGGAGATGAGCGTCACTGCAGATGCGAGACGAGGGTGGTGGTGTCTGATTGATCCTGCCCTTGTGCAGCCAGGACGCAAGGGCCAGGCAGACAGGGCGGGCGACGGGGGGCGCACTGACTGACACCACTGCATGAAAACTAGACTCATTAACTGCCGCACTGCAGACTCCATCCTTACTAACTCTTATTTGACCT